TATCAAATTAAGTTGTGTATTTCAATAATTGAGGCTTTATAGCTCAAATAAAATTACTATGTTTATTTATTATTGAGTATTTTTTTTTATATCAATTTTTTCGTTGCATCATATAACAAAAATTTCATATATCTCGAATTTCTGCATTTTCTTCAATTAAATTAAAAATAGCAAATATTTTTTAATGATATTGGGTGTGTTTGAAAGATGATCGAAGCCTTTACAATGCATGTATGTTTATTTTTTCGATTATCCAAACATTGAGGCTTGTTTCTTGCTCGAAATGTTGCTTCATTTTTTGGGTTTTTGAAAAGTCGATTTTTCTAAAAAAGATATTTTGTTGAAGAAAATTATGTTTTTTTGATAAAATTGAGAAGTGTTTTTCTATTTTGCTTAATAAATTATTTTTAATAGAATTATAATTTTTTAATAAAATTATATTTTTTTGATGAATATGAGAAGTGTTTTTCTATTTTGCTTAGTAAAATTATTCCTTTGATAAAATTATTTTGATTAAATTGATTCTTCTTTTTGATAAGTGCATGATAATTTCTCTCGATTTTTTAGTTATCTTTTTTTTTAAGTTGATATATTTATATTTGTAAGTATGGAAATGGGATATTTTGTTTTTTAAAGTGCATGTAAAAATTATGGTTGCCTTATGTTCAATGAAACACTACACCGTCTTGTTTGTGCTTTGCTCTTCTCGTTTTCTTTATTTATTTTTTTTGTTCATTCTCTATCAAGTTTTTGGAATGTTTTGGAAATAGCCTTTAAAAGATCAACCATTTTTTAAAAAATAGGTTGACTAACTCGAGATCAGTCACTGGCCGATCCTGATCTAGCCCGATTCCAAAGAGAGAGAGAGAGAGAGAGTTATACAAAGATCTTAATTTCAAATCATCCCTCATTTGAGAAATTGATTTTTTTAAAAAAGAAAATTTTCATTTTGCGTAGTAAAATTATATATTTTTTTTATCAATATGGGAAGTTTTTTCTATATTATACGACAAAAATATCTTCAAAAAAGATATCCTAAGCTATTTTGAGGCACAAGACCGTAGTATTCGAATATTACTATATAAAAAGTTGTTTCAATTTTTTTTTTGTAAAATAAATATATGTAATAAGATATTTATACATTTAGTGTAAGTATTTTTAGTTTTTTTTTTATAATTTTTTGGGAGTTTTTGACCCATTTTTTTAAAAAAAATCTACGTGACCCGTTAGTCTAGTTAACCGCTCCGGTAAGTCTGATTTTGGTCCAAACTGCTCCCAATCCCATGGTCGGTTAACCATTCTGGTTCGATTTTGCGAACGCTGGTCACAAAAGAGAGCACAATACAAGCAAGAGTTTTATATAGAAATAGGTTCATATTATGAGAGAGGAAACCCCAAGCTCCTTCTCTCTTTATGGTTCATGCTGCCTTACATCAATCTGAAGTGAGAGAATTCCTTAGGTTTAGGTAAAGCTACATCATATTGTCGGGTGAATATGGCCATTAAAAACTTTATGAGTGCTTGTAATAAAATATTTTGATATAATCGAACATGAATTCAGTGGGAGTGTGGTCCTTCATGGACCATATTAAGCAAATTACATTTGCTGATACCGAAACGAGCTTTATGAACTAGGTCAGTTGGTTGGGAAAAGTCTATATTACCTAGATATAGAAAAATATCTGATAAGGGTTTTAATAGGTCACCCATTGATAAAGTCGGAGTATGCCCGGATGAGTGAGTCGAGAGACTTTGTGACCCTTGTGTGATGGTGGCCTTCAGAGACGATGACCAAAGCCTCATCCATGTGTCATCATACGACATGCATATATGATAGTCATTTCGAGAAGCGAACCACCTTTCAAAGGGAAACTTATACATGTGCGAGAGATACCCCTATGCACCATAGGAGCTATGGTCGCATCACGTCTAAGTGACCTTGGTACATCTCTAGGAAAAAACCTTAAATCCTCGAATTGGGATTACGACCCATTGACTCATTAGCCAGACTTTGGTGACCCACTAATGAGCCCCTGCATGAACTATAAGTCATGGAAAACACTGAGTCAGTTTGATAAAGCAAGTGTGGATCGTAGTCCACAGTTGAAGGTAGAGTACTTTAATGTTTATTTATTTAATTCCTAGACCATATGGATCATTTTCCCATCTAATGAATTATTATGGGAAAACAAACCACCTTTCAGAGGGAAGCTTATGCATGTGTGAGAGATACCCTTATGCACCATAGGAGCTATGGTCGCAACAAGTCTAGGTGATTTTGGTACATCTCTATGGGAGAACCTGAAATCCACAAACTAGGATTACGACCCCTTGGCTCAATGGCCAGACATTGGTAACCCACTAATGAGCCCTGTCATGGTTTGATAAAGAAAGTGTGGACCGTAATCCACAATTGAAGGTGGAGTGCCCCCAATGTTTATTTATTAATTCCCAGACCATATAGATCATTTTATCATCTAATGAATTTTATTATGTGATTTTTAATGATATATGATTTTAATAATTGTTTTTTAAATTTTTCTAAATCTCTGGATATTTTATTTATCAAATTTGGATTTATAAAAATAGAGATATTGATTTTAGATTGATTTAAAGATTCAAAATTGATTTATAGATTTCTAAAAATCATATAATTAATTTTAATAATTTTAATATTGCATGGGAGGCCATTAACCAATGTATTAATGGGCCCACTATGGGTGGTGCCCATGAAGTACCACCTAGGGGGCACGCTCCACCCTAATGAAACTTTCCTTAGTGTTAGTTTAAGCTTTGGCTTGAAGAGAAAGCTTTGAAGTGTTTTGGAAAGATTTTGCCTTGAGGAAGCTTTCAAAGAATTTTTTGAAAGCATGAGAAGGCTTATGCAATATTTTGGTAGGTACAATATTATATTTGAAATTATTTTATTTAATTTCTAGTGATAGGAAAATGGTTTAGGAAATGGGGATAAAGGTTCTAACACATTCCATGATGTTGATGACGTATCTATGGGATATGGGATTCAAAACTCTCACCCACAAGTCATCCAAGATCAATGGTTCATATTCAATCTTATAAGAAGAGACAAGCCATAGAAAACAATAAGAAACCCTAATCCTATTGTTGCACTATAAAAAGAGTACCCAGGAAACACTAAAAAGCCCTAATTCTATTGTTGTACTATAAAAAGAGTACCCATGCCCATAAATCTCTGCACCAAAATCTCTTTTCTCTTTGTAATATTTCTATCTTTCAAGAATACCCAAATAGGGGGCACTCCCCACTTAGGAAAGAGTGGTCTCTCTCTCCATAGCAAAGCTCTCTCTCTAAGGGGCACGCCCCACTTTGAAAGATCTCCCTCTCTCTTCCATCTTGCTTTGATGATCTAAGTGGTTGGGTAGTAGAAGTTAGATCTTCTCTCTCTTAAAACTAGTTTTATGGGTTATATACCAAAGTTTAAGATTTTTGATCAAGAAGAGTTCATAATTCCGTTAGAGGGTTTGGTCTAAACTTAGTTTCCCATTTTGAGATTGAAGGTTGAACATTGAACCCACGTCATTGGATAGTGGTGACTCGTGTGGGGTACAATAATTCTGGTTGAGGTAACCTCCGACACTCTTTTTTATTTCTTACCATATTTAATTATATAATCTTTAAATTCTCAAGCATAAGAATTGTGGTTATTTTCTTTGATTAAAGAAAATTGGTTTAGTGGCATCAATGTTTTTAAGATCTTCGATTGTTAGTTTAATTTTCTTTGATATAAGAGTTATTGTAATAAGACTACTTGTAAGTGATTTTTGCCACAAAAAAGAAAAAGAAAAGAGAAAGGGTAAAAAAGAAAGAAAGAAAAAAAAATTTCCCCGACTAGATCATATCAGTCTTTCTTTCACATATATGTTTTTCTTTCTTCTTTTTAGAGTTTATTCAATCTACTTCCCAATATAAAAAAATGAAATAAAAATTTTAATTTCTTTTGAACTAGGTAAGTCACATTGTATCTATTTTTCCTTCTTGTAAGAGTTTATTCAATTTACTTAATATAAAAAATAAAATAAAATATTTATTTTATTTTGAAATGAAATACCAACATGAACACCAAAGAGCCAAAATACTTCCACAGTTTCAAAAATAAAATTAAAAAAAATTAAATTTTATTTTGGAATGAAAAATCCAACATTATAATCACAAATTCACAGTACCCAAAGGAAGCTTGTCCTAGCTTGGTCCGTTACTCTGCAACAAAAAGCTAGCCCAACTCAAGAATGACCACAAAGAACAGCTTAGATAGCAAAGAAAATAATAGAATATTTAAGTCATTTTCCTCCTCAGCATTTTTTATAAAGGGCAAGCTTTCTATGCTTCCCCTATAGTATAGAAGTTGTATGCTCCCTTTTATCCAACCATCCATTCTGAAGGGAGGGCTAAGATTGCCCCAATCACAATGTCACGTCTATACACTATTTTAGTTTTAATTTTTTTCTATGAACTATTTTGACACCAAAATTTGGACATCCATTCCTCTATTAAACTCACACTAGTGAAAAATTTTAAAAAAATATTTTCAATAAAATAAAATGATCGAAATACCCCTGAAAGTTTCAAGGGGTATTTTGGTCATTATATTTATCGAAAAAATATTTTTAATATTTTTTATAGATGTGCCCCAATGAGAAGATGGCACGTATCAAATTTCATGTCCATACAATTTATTTAAAAAAATAAAAAATAAAATACTTTGAGACATCGGATCTAAGATCAAAAGCAGAGTGGCTCTCTTGATCAAAATTGGACGACTGGATGGTAAGGGGAGGATAGAACTTCTATGCTGGCTGGATGGTAGGGGGAGGATAGAACTTCTATACTGTAGGGGAAGCATAGAAACCTTTCCCTTTTATAAATGGCCGCAGTTACAATTAACTAATTCCTCTGTAAGATCAATAACCATAACGATCTATGTTCCTGTTGTTTAAGGCATACATGCATTCCTCTCGACCACCACACAATTCTGGTCTATACAAAATCAAACTTAAGCATGCAGTAAGCGGCCCTCAACTGACCACGGGATTACAGAGCGATACTAGTATTACTACTGCATAAAGTATTGTATATGGATTTTGGAAACTTTGTACATGCTCAATTAGGTGATTCAGTTGACAGTACTGTCACAGTGATTAATACAAGAGCAGCAATTTCCAAATATATATTCATCATTAAGAAATTAAAAAAGAAATGAATGAGGGTATCAAATTCAACATTCAAAATTTCATTAAAAAACCAATAACAAGCCAAACATGAAAGTTGATGAAAAGCTCTCAGCAACTATATCGCCTCGGTGCATCACAAGCCCACATAAGGAGGGCCACCCTAAGTTAGAAGCCTAGGCGGATCGTCTTATGGGGCAAAGGCGGCCGACCTTTTAGTACATATGTTGGATTCAAAAGGCAAATCCCAGAATAGAGAAAATATAAAAAAAAAAGGATCAGATAGAGAGCACATACCTTTTTTTAATCCAATTTCCCTGTTGCAGTTGGTGCCAATCTTTTTATACTTTTTTGCATATAGCCTGATGCAAAAGGAGCTCTGGAAATTAAATCCGACCTTCTGTCGTTCTTAAACAAGGAAAACTAGGGTAATAATGAAGGAGATAAGTGGCTGTAAATCGAGCCAATGGAAGAAGAAGATCTCTTTTTTATTTCACAAAAACATTCTTCACACAAAAAAATACCTAGGTCGCTCTAATGGGATGTCTCGTTTTTTATACAAGCAATAATAAAAAACTAACAAAAAGGAAAATCCAAGATATACTTCTCTATATGCACATTACAAAACTTTTAAGAAATATTCAACAATGCCACTAATGTCCTCTATTAACCACTTTATTTTCAATTATAAATCCATATCCATAGGTTCCCCTTTTCCTTTCCCTACCATGAACAAATGGAGCAACACCATAAACGTCCTCTCTATTAACCACTAAGAACGTCAATGGAGATCCTTATACCCACAAGGGAAGGACTCCAAATGACAACAAACATTTCCAGCACCTACATTTTACATAAGTATACATATAATATGCACATTATATCCACATTCCTAAGTTCCAATCTTTGCAGAAAACACAATCCTTATTCAGTATTATTTATAACACCTCAATGCACACTTCCACACCAGATATTTTCAACTTGTAAGGGACTAGGGAGTCGAGTTATTGAGAAAAGTAACCATTCCAATTTTCTAACCATAAATGTAAATTGGTGAAGCTGTCAGCAATCCATTAGAAGGTGTTCAAAGTTATTGCCCTGGTTTTCTGCAGCACCACCAGCTTTATCATCATTATCATTGTACCTTTTCAACAACATTTCCTGCACCACCAAGTACGAAGCATGAAGGCATGAAGAGAAAATCAAAGCAAACTTACCAATAATAATTGTAGAGAGCATAACCATGTACATGTTTGCATGTATAACATAGACATCTACATGCACATACTGGTTCTCCCTCTCTTGTTCTCTCCATTTGCACATGCCACAAGTGGATGAGTTTCCAATGTACAATTGATGCTATATTTTTGTGTTTGGAGGCATTCAGCACATTAGTTTCCTACTGCTAAGGCATGAGGTCATTTGGTAGGGGCAAGTTTGGTCAAATGGAAAGGATAGATAGGGTTCTGCATTTTGCAACAGAACATGATTTTCATCAAAGTAAGGCTGATTTTATATGTCAGCAATACAGGCTGATTTTATATGTCAGCAATACACAAACTGAAAAATTTATGATTATCCTATGGCGAAGAAACCAAGTGATTTTCCTTTTTAAAATCTAGATAGGGAAGTTGTTCTCGCACATCAAAGTCTTTTGTTTTCATTGATCCCAATCATTTTCATGTTGACCACAATCCATTTAATTCTTATGAATATGCGGAACTGTGCTCTCCATATTAGTAAACATAAGGTGGCCATATTTGTCGTAAATCATGTAATTGCTGTATAGTACACTAAATTGTATTTCAGTCTGCCATAATTTTATAAGGGGTTTAAACCTTAAGTTTATTTAATGAGAATCAGTTATTCTCTCAAACCTATATTTTAAGTTATTCTCTCAAACCTATATTTTATTTAATGAGAATCAGTTATTCTCTCAAACCACAATTTCAAGTGTCTGGTTCTCAGAATGACTACAGATATGAATCCTTCACCTCAGTTGTGGTCACCAAATGTCAACTTTCTTTTGCCAATCAGAAAGATCGCACATAAAGCCAGTAGTCCACAAGTTTGTCAGGACAAAATCTCTAAAACCTTAGGCCTCTTTCTCAGAAGGAGGCCTAAGGTCGGTTGAAAAACATTAAAATTTTTGCTTTCAGCAAAGAGAACTACAAGTTTACCAAGGTCAGTTCAAAAACATGCCAGAAACGAGCAAATAAGTTCAGGATTCCGTTGAGTGCTTGCTGTCCATGAGTGACTTCATTGGAGGTCCATCAATGCAACCCCCATATATCTCTTCCCATTATAAAATTTTTGAAGTTAAAGGCTCATAAGCATGATTCTTCACATCTAACTTCACTGAGGTTCCCATATCAGTGGGCATGAGAAGCTATTTCTAAACATGGAGGACAGAAAAACCTAAGGAAATTGCATTTTTTAGCAACACCACAAAACTTTTGGTAGGTTAGAGACCCTATATTTTGAATAAGGTGGGCAAGAGTGGGGAAACCTATTAGAACATTCAGGAAATCTTTTGAAGAGAATTTCAGGGTTTTTGTTAAGGGAACCCATGGAACAACATGTAAGAACCAACACATATGAGAGCTGGTTCAAGCACTACAAAGGTTTGTCTAAATCCCAAATCTCACCTCCTACATGATTTTAATGGTAACTCAATAGGGCAAAATGGCTAGACATTATGCTTAGGCCTGGCGATGGCGATGGCGATGGCGTAGGGGATCGCTAATCTGGGCCTGGGCATGGGTCAACATGTGCAACAGTTCATGGCCCCACCTAGGTGATTCAGTTCCTTGAATAGTCAATTCATGGCCCAGCCCAGCCTCATATAGAGAAAGGGCCTGGGCCAGGGCCAGGTTTCTAGCTTGTTGGGCTAACCCTGGACTGTTGCCAAGCGCATTCATACTCTTAAAACAGATTTGATTTATGCTTTTTACACTAATTTCATATCTATCTCTCTCCTATTTAGGCTCCAATACCATCTCAAAGTCCCTCAACTGATGAAAATAAAAGGAAAAAGAGATACAATTGATAGAGGGAAAATATTTTCGTTTTCTGGATCGGGAATATATTTCATAGTGTGAATTGATATTACAAGACTCTTATGCATGACAACATGCCTTCATGCAATTACAAATCAACATAAAAAAATAAAGGAAAATATAACTAAAATGGTAAAAACACCAGAAAACAACATTAAAATGGTCAAATCAATGAATTTAACATATGAATGGCTAATTTAACATATTCTTTTCACTTAGGTACCTCCTTAGTTTTTCTTTGAAATGCACAAAATGCCCCTTTTCCATATACAAAACTCTAAACAAGCAGGGTCATTTTAGTAATTTATCCCCACCTAAGTGGTTCAAATGTCATAAATACCCCTACTTGTTTAGCATTAAGAAACTAGAATATGTTTTTAATATTAAACTCTCTTCTTCTGGTATCCTAATCTTGACCAAAGGGGGGCATCTAGCATCATTTGGCTCAAGCCAACACGGCAAGAGTCAAAGGATGAATGAATCTTTAGTTTCTCTGGTTTAGGAATCTAGTACTCACTTTTTTCATTAGATTTGCTTGTTCTTGGTTGATGGAGGGTGATATACTTATTTTGCTTGAATTAGTGGACTGAGGAAAATGATGATTATACCCCCACTTGTTCAAGGTTATGAACTTGGAACTTGCTTTTTCTCATTGAAAATCCACGTTCTAACTCCTAACTTAAACATGGAGGGGTAATATCATCATTTCATCGAACTAAATGCCCTTAGCAAAATGAAGGTCCAACCAAGCCCCACCCCACTGGCGCCCCCGCACCCCCCCTCGGCGGGCTTGTTGGGGTTTAGGGACCAAGAAGTCCCATTTCTTCCTTAGAAATCTAGAAAAAGCTAGGGTATTTACACTATTTGATTCATGCAAGTTAAATGCGGCCAAAATACCAAAATTGCCCTACTTTCAAGGTTCTGCATCTAGGATAAGGGCAATTTAGGCAACTTTAAGCAACATTTTTGAAGAGGTACCTGAGTGCCTTGTAAAGTAGCTATTCTATTGTAAAGTTGGTTGATTTGACCACCTTATTGATTTTTTAAGGTGGTTTGACCATTTTACTGATATTTTCCCAAATAATGAAGTTAAATTTAAATACGGGACATGTACACCTTATTATATAATGCTAGATAGAACATTACCCATTTTTCATGTTAATAAATAGTAACATTTAAGAAGATCCATTGGAGTCCATAGGCACTTCATAAATGTATGACCACATCAGAAGTGCTCGCGTTTCTATGTTTTAAGTTATGTTCCTTTATAGTTTAGAGTTTTCTTTGTTTCTTCCTTGCATTTTTTTCCTCGTCTTCTTTGTATAAGTAATTCTTTCTGGGAATGGGTAATCAAGTCTAGAGCTTTTTTGTTGTATGATAGTTTGCTCATTGAGGAAATCCGAAAACAAAAGAAGATATGCATTACTAGAATTAAGAATCCTTGAAACTACATGTAACTTGGTAGAGAAGACCACAATCTTCAGCAAATTACTCTGCTTGTTTTTAGAGAATGGACTAGAGACGTGGTATTATTGCTGAAGAGAATTAATGTTAGTCTAGAAGAAAATGGCTGATAAACTTGGAGAATGTAGCCTTAACTTTTATTCTTTATATCTGTTATGAGTAAAAATGTGGCTGTTGTAGCTGGGCATGAGATTAATCTTGGGCTATGCCATCTCTGTGCTTGCTCTCTTCATGCCTCTATTTGTGTATCAATGAATTATTGATTTGTAGATAAAACTTCACAAATAAAGAAACCCCAAACAAAATCCTCAATATTTACTACAAATAAGCAAACTTGGTGTTTCCATGTGCTTAATGCTTGTTGCATCAATAGTAGTAAGGAGAAAAAAGACTCACATGCTCCTTAAAATTAAGATTGGACAAATTGATGAAGAGGTTCCTCATCAATAATAAAACCTGCAGAAAGTAAAATATACTTAACACTAAAACACAAAGAACAATCATGAGCAACAATCATGTGATCAAATGTCAGTACAAAATCCCTTAACATGAATTGTCACAAAATACTCTATTACTTGACCAACATGTATCATAAAAGCTAATCATTCAACCTAATGGAAAGTAGTTTCTAGATAGCACAACCTCTTGAAAGCGTTGAGGAATTAAATTTGCATCTCTCCAAGTTCCTTGTTATATTTCATCTTATTTATTATTGCCACCATGTTTTAATGTTAATATCTCAAACTTGTAAGTTGGGGTTTAATCCCTCATGAGAAAGTTTAATGTGGTAACCCTCCTCCTCTGTATGTAACAGAGGGTACTTCTATGTGACTTCAGTGGAGTCAGTATCTAGTCTTTGTAGCTCTGGAGAGCAGTTTCCTCAAAAGAGCGCCTTTGGTTTGAGCAATTTAAATGGTTCTTTGATCTTATTTTGTGTTCTTACATATTTTAGCATTATATAAGAGAAGGTTGGATCCGATTTATTTATTTATTTTAAGCTATTCACCATTTGGTCTCAATTAGTTGTTGGATTTGAGTATAAAAAATCCATCGACACTTCAAACATGCTCCATAATATGATTTCTTATGAATACTTAGTTCCATATCTCTAGTTTCTTCCAAGAATAGTAATAAGTCCAAATGTTTCAGTTTAAAATTGTCCATATGAAAATGTCTCTCCTATTTATTTCCTTTGTAAATAAATGCACTCCCATTATTGATATTGTCCATTCTGATGTGTGAAATCCTTACTTTTGTTTTGTACAGAAAGGATCCATCAACAATATTTCCATTGATGATGGGTTATCAAGAAATACTAGGGATACACTTCAGAATGGGCAAGGGCATTGGTGGTAGCACCACCGAGCCTGAATGAACTCTCGGACTCCAGTCTCACTAAAGAGTAGGGGCCCAAATCTCCACTGATACACCCAAAAAACTTGGGATACACTTCATGGGAAGCAAATGAGAGCTTCATGACATACCTGATACATTTTACAAAATCATTTCACAACATGATGGTAATTTGATTAAAACATTTGGCATGCTATACATAAAAGCAAACAGATTCCAGAAACTAGGACAGTTCATCTTCCATCCAAATTTCTCTCAAGTTTCTTAAGTTGTCCATATTGGCATCTAATTACCAGGAGATCCCCTGCACTTTAATCTGGGAATTTCCTATACAATGTTTAAGAGGAAAAACAAAAAAATATGATTCTTGGTATCCTGATGCCACGGTTGTATCAGAATCATTATTCTTAATTTGTTAAGAGGACCACAGTGCATGACAATGCATCTAAATGTGTTTCTCGAGAATTTAAAACATATATCATTTTATGATCATTTCAATAACAAACTTGGATTGTCTCATCAAGTTTTTTCACTTTTCTGGAGCTTTTCTACTTGAACACTCAAATCCATTGTTTATTCAGAATGTCTCTGCTTTCTATTCTCCCTCAACTCATTTTAAAGAATAAATTTGTCATTTGTGTATTCTAATTATCGAGGAGACAACCCATGTGAGAAAGCTTTGAAATAATGATTTGCATCTTGTCTATATCTCATTTACTTTTAGGACTTGAAATTTTATTTTACAGGCTCTACATTTCAATTTGGAATGGCCATTGTATCTTCCCTTTTGTTGGTTCATAGAACTTTTTCTCATCATTTTTGTCACACCCCCTTACTTTATGTGGTTTTCTACTCGAAGAAAGTTCAAATCATCCCTCTATTTCTCACTGAAATTGTATACCGTTGGGTCTGGTCCTTGGGTTTTGGGTTTACTTTTGAAGTGGAACTTCATGGTTTTTCTTTTTTTCTGTAACTGTTTCATGTGGTTGCTGAGACTTCTTCGGCTTCAAAACATGCCAATAGTATATTTTGATGGTAATAAATATGCACTGGATCATAAAACAATTCCTAAAGACTTTATATCTGTTTCACTATATGGTATTCAACTAAAGTATTTAGTTCATCTTGAGAGATGAAAGAGACAGATCTTCTACAATCCTACATGAAGTTGGACAAAGAGGTTCCACGTATTAGGATGTCATCACTCTACATGCTAGAGTTACTTACTTTCCACTAGAATCAGTATAGTCAAGATTTTAGGCCACCAATACTCCTTAGATGAACCTAATGAGCCTGAAATTGGATGGAAGTAACTCTTAAGGCCATGTAACTTAAACATGTGCGTCCATGATATTTGGCATGTGTCAGCACATCAAGAACACATGCGTGTCAAATACTTTAGAAACTCAATGACGGTTGCTTAACCTTTTCTTAATTCCCTTGAAGTCCCACATCGCCCCTCCTTAAATGCTATAGATGCGTCACATTTGAAAGAAAGATTTTAGACTAGGCATTTTTGACAAGAGAAGAAACTAGGTTGTATTAGGGTTATTTTTTTTTTTGAATAAATTTGTAATTTTGAACACCTGAAAGTGTTCTAGTTGGTACGAATAAAAGAAAGAAAGGGAAAATTTTAACTGTATATACTTGGCTAGATCACATTGTCCAACTTTCATCAATACCAAAGCAGATCTCTTGCAGCCATATTATTTTTGTTTTTGCTGTTTGTTTTTGTTTTGGGTTTTGAATAAAAAACTTGGGAGCCAATGGCTTTGTAAGATTAGGTTTTTTTTTGGCGTGATTTGGACACCGAGAAACACTTTGCAGATTAGGTTTTTTTTGTGTGTTGCATGCCACACGGTTATGGACAAAAGGATGAGGTATTTTTCTTTGGCCCAATATATTTTTTTTTTTGTTTTTAAAGAGTATTATCTCCCTTCAAAGTTTCAATGAGAGATCATGTGGGGATTGAGAGTTATGGACTCATCCTTGAGTGGTGCCAATTTTGATCCCACAAAATCCAGGAACTGTGTATTATATTCCATGAATTTTTCCAGCAACTAAATAGTTCTATTTTTTGGAGGGTATCTAAATGACATTTACCCAATTTGAGTCTACTTTCAAACAAAAAATATTTGATTGACAAACCCCTTGCGGATTGAGAGATATGGTTATTTTATTGAATTGTGCTCAAACTTGTTTTTCTGCAACGAAGACTGTTTTTGTGATGCGAATGTCACGATTTTATATACCTTTTTAATAGAATGTTTTGAGGCCCACACTAAGTTTTTATATTATCTTTTAGAGTATATTGTCTAACAAAAAAATCTCCATGGGTATTATGAGAATAGAATATTTTATTGGAGAATGATCATCCTGAATTTCTACAGTCTAATCTGTTTTTGTGACATGAATGTAACTTATTTATTTTCCTGACGAAAAATATTATTTGGGATTCACATCATGATGCTAAATTGTTGTTTTGAGTCTAGTTTTCAACAGAAAAACGTTTGAGGGATAAACTCTCTGTGGATTGAGAGAGAAGATTTTTTTATTAAGGGATGCTCCTTCTGATTTTTTGTTGTATGAATTGTATAGTGACGTGAATGTCACTAGTTCATAGATTCATTGAATGGTGTGATTTGGGATTGGTACTGAGTATAATTTTGTAATTTTGCAGCTATTTTCATACTCAAAAAGTTGGAGAGAGAAATTCTCTGAGTTGGGGTATATTGTATTTTCATCAAGGGATGCTCATCTTTTATTCTGTAGTAAATTGAAAGGTGTGACATGTTAAGTCATGTTTTTGTACTGTCATGATTGGAAGTCCTTTTAGGCTCATTCTAAGTCTTATAGTGTGCCATGAGTATGATTTATGACATTAAATATTCAAAGACAGGTCATGCAATATTAGGGTAACATGACACCCTATGGGCAGGGTTCTCAATCTGGAAATTGTAAAAAGAAGAAGGAAACGAAATACATGTAAAAAGCACCTTGTTTCCTCTTCGTTTCTGGCAATGAAGAGAGAGTGGGAGTTGTTGCAGTCCCACGGTTATATTGGGGTGATCGGATACTCAAAATATAAAGGTATTCCACTATCTACTGTCGAAGGGATCCAAATGACCTACCATCCCAGTGGGAGTACTTGTTTATGCTTAGTGGAGTAATTGAAACAACTTACTGTGATGTTGAACACCTTAGAACCCAGACTTATGGTTTGGTTGTCTAGCTGCAAAAGAAGCAACACGATTAAAGAACTCCCTTGAGCTGCTGAAATATGACCCTATGTAATGAGGGTGCATGAAGATTTTCTGCAACAAAAAGTCTGTGATTCGTATTGATAAAAGGTCACGTTTATATGAGAAGACCAAGAATGTTAAGATGGACTACCATAATGATCAAGATGAGATCTGAGCACCAGAGAAAGAGGCTTTATGTCTCCCACAAAGATTACATCAGTGAATCCTTAATAAAAAGATGGATGGAGAAGGAGTTCACCAAGTAATGTGTAATGTAACAAACATAAGAGGGAGCATGTTAGATATGCTTGAGAGAAATATTATAATGGGGGATGAGGGTGTGTGAGGGAGAGTTTGTCAGCCCTTCAAAGGCCAAGTGGGAAATGTTGGGGTTATATGGCCATTTAAAGGTCTTATGAGAGCATGTAAAACTATGACTATAGATGTGATAGCTCCAATAGGAGCGTAGTCCAGGATGGACTGTGAGGCATCGTTGATGTCGTGACCATAGTTAGCAAGTCTCTATTTAAAACTCGACTTTTTAAAAAATTCACCAATTTTTTGAAATCTGTTAAGAACTCCAAGTTTTTCAAAAGATCTTCAAAAAATCGTGTTTTTAATACAACTGATATAAATCAGTATTTTATCCTTTTTCAAAAGAGCTTTTCAAAAAAACTTCTTTGCTATAATTTCATTTCTTCACCAACTTAGTATTATTGAAGTTTCGTTGAAAGATAAGTACATTAACAATGGGAATAAATTAAGAGTCTTGATTCAACAAAAAAATCTATCAAAAATTTCACAAATGAGTTCCCTTAAAACAATGTATGAAAAAATACAAACAACATATTCCCAAAAAAA